AAAATCAACCCGGACAAGGTAGCGATTGGGACAACATGACCTGTTGAATGCGAAACGGATCAAGTGGATAAAATTTGAATTCTTTTCCTGTTTCCCAATCATTCCACGAACAATGTATATTTAACAGGTGCTACATAATCTCTTGATGGTTGGGAATACCCGACTCTGTATGCCACAGTTTTCATTTATTATCAGATGAATTATAGATCACTCCGATTCTGCTACACAACCTCAGTGTTATCCACCTTTTTATTTATTAACTCGCATCTGCGATTTATTCGTTTTTATCACCAGCTCTCTGTGTTTTCTCTCTCGGGATCGGTTGAAGACTTCAGCAAGGTTCGGAAAGTTTGTTTATTCAAACTGAGCTGGAACAGATGCCTATCGGTTCTAGGGGGTATAGTAATCTCGAATGCTTCTTCGCGTAATGCACATCTATCAAAATTCTTATGAGCAGTTGAAACACTACCTTTTCGATTCTCGGCTGAAATCGATGTAACTTCGTGCGCATCCAACAGTAGCATTCTATTACGAACACTACAAAATGATTGTCCGTCACATGTCACACGTTAAGTAGAAATAAAGTACTTTTTGAGTCTGTGAGTATGAAGGTTCTGGCGGAGTGTTTGCCGAATTTACGTCTCCTCCCTCCCCGGGAATTTGTGCCCGGGCCCGTCGATTAAGTGAGCTTTCCATGAGAATGAACGAAACCGACGATGATTGATAGCGGTCGGTGGGGTAAGAAGGCGTTACGCGTAAATGTTGACATGAATCATTGCATGGATGGGAGTCAGTCTAGGCCCTCAATAACCTGATGGGTAAATATAATCGCAACCGAGGTTCTCGTGAATTTCATCGCTTCTTTTGAACCAAATGCGATTGTACACTTATGAAGCGCAGCCCGAGTTCTTGTTCTGCACTCCTTAGTGCTTGTCGATCTATCAACTGGGTCACCAAGATTGATAATAGTTGTTTCGTGTGTGTCTGCCGGATACAGAGATCACTTTGAGTAACACGTTTCTCTGTTTTATCGCTTTGACACCGCTGCCCCGTTCCCCCAGCGAGTTATCCGATTCATCCAAACAATATTCATAAAACGTGTGGAATTGACCTTATTTTAACTAGGCTAATCTTTTGAACTACGGTTCTCACGGCTCGTTAAGTTGATAGGCCCACGCACACCGAGCTCGTGAGGTGTGTCTAAGAGGAGGGGGGACAATGCGTTTAACCACAAAGGTTACTAATTTTACATCTGACAAGGATTAAAGCCATGATTAAAATAAATGCTCGCTGTCAGACGAACGGGGGATATCGGTCGCAGGCGAAACGTGCCGCTGAAGTGCTCTCACGATTCTGGCGAATAGTGCAAACTGACAATTGCTGATTTCCGGTCAAACCACAGCTGCGATACATTGGAAAGACTAAGTGGGTTCGGAGTGACCTGGTTGTCAAAGTGGTAACACACACGGACTCACACCTTTCCTCCGAAGCCCACTCTACATGTCAAGAGCAATTAATCCGGCTTTGGACACAAGTAACTGCCGCGATAATTCTCATCCGACTCTCGAGATCTGAACTCAATGCATAGCGAAAATTGATTTAGGCACTCTAACTCTCTCTGCCGATAAACGAATTTGTTACACCCACGAACCAAGGAGTTACGCAATCTAGTGATAACAGTTACACAATTCAATCATTCATTCTATTGTCCCCAGGTTTAATCAACCCATTCCCACTTACCCCATCCAAATATGACTGAGTTCTGTTGCCATTTCATTCTTATTTGAATGTGATTGTCATGGACTTGAGAATCAAGTCCTCGAAAACCAATGCTTGCCTATACCTCGTGTTGTCCAAACAAAATCAAGTGGTAGGTTTGCAATAAGAGAAATAACGCGGTCACAGCCTGCCTTAAAAGAAAATTTGGCGGGTATGGTGATCGATTGAGTGCTGGGCATAATGACTGCATGCTGAGATTACTCAGCATCCTCCATCTTAATTGCAGTATCAGTTCATTCCGCCTTTCTGCAGAGCCTACGGTATAAGTTTTCTAACTGATACATTTTGAATGTTTTGTTCTGACGGGGTTTTTGAATACGGCCGTGCCTTTGCTACCATCCGATACTATTTCTCAATTCTACAGTGAAAAACAGCGTTATCTTCTCAACTTACATAATCAGATCAATTCATTTAGTTTTCACGGTCGGATAGGACGATCAGATGTACTTTTGTTTGTTTACAGATAAATTAGTTCATTCGGACAAACCCGGTCCAATCGGTGACGTTTGATGGCCGAAACACCAATCATCTTCTGGGTTTCCAGTGGAATGCGATTGGTTGGATTCACTTGAAGTTACGGCGGATTCAACTGAAGTTGAAAAGGTATAGTCCGTTCTCGGGTCACGGCGTGACTCCTTTGTTGTGGCATTCGATCCTTGAATTGGCTTTTACATGTGATCCGGTTGGATGTATCTGTTTATTGAGTTGATCATTATTGAGTTCAGTTGAGTCATTGAGTTGACTGAAGAGTGCCAAGCCTCGAGAGAGTCTCTACCGTGTTTTGGCAGGACTTGGTGGATGGTTCTCGTGGATTCGGAGTTGAATTGATGTTATTCCTGATCTTCTTGGAGGGAAATCAACGATACTGGGTCATGCCTCCTGAATTCCGATGGATGTCCACAGATAGTCGTTGATAGTTTTCTTCCAGTTAGTCCTATATAGTGTTATGGACGGTTTATTTTTTGCAGATAGCAGTGTTCTTATCTTTTTCCATTGTTCGTTTTATCCTTTGGTTTTGACAGCAGTCTCCTTAGACAGGCGGTCGGTTTACGGGCTACTTTGATTCCGTAAAATATGAACAGTCTTGCTGTCATTTTCGAAACGTCCCTGATGCGCGGTAGCGTTGTGCCCGTTCCCGCTTTCCTTCCGTCGTTTGTTTCCTCCTTTGAGTAAGAGTTCTTTTGATGAAGTTACGGGTCTAGTCATCGCGAGTAAATACACTGAAGAGGTATCTTCTTTTTCACAAACAATTCGATGCTGCAGTGCCTTTGGGTTGTTTCGAACAGCCTCTTTTGCGGCTGAGTGGCTGATTACTTCTGAAGTAAGCGATGCTTTGCGGTGGACCGTTGTCTCCGAGTTTCCTGATGGCGTTCTAGTAATAAAGATGTCTGAAATGCCAGTTAGTTATCATTCTACGGCTACATTGTGAATTTCATGCCACCAAATGTTTTATGCATGATTTCGTGTATACTTTCGAGCTCCGGCTTCTTCAAGATGCCAGATGTGTTATTGCCGCATCGGAACCAAAGTTTCGGCTTGATTCTTGGTATTAATCTCCTCTTCAACTTCTGTATTACGATTTTGGCTGTGAATCCAGAAAGTAGTGATTCTGTTAGCATCCTTTACGGCTGTTCGTAGATTTTGAACTCGAATTTGAAGTACTTTTGCATACATAGTTCCATGAGTCCGTAGATGGCAGCTGGTTACACTATTTGGTTTTGTTGGTTTGCCGGATTCACGTCGACTGAAATGTATCTTTCCACCAATTTCAAGATAGTCTAAACGACGGCTTTAATTGGTCTCTTTCCCGAATCCTTATGCTCAATGCTTTAAAATGTGTTGTTGTTCTCTTCAGTCTTAAATCCGGCTCCCATTATCATACTATTGTTATTAACCGACTTGAACACTTCGTTAACGGTCACAGAATTCCCAAAACTAACTCTGTTATGCACACTGGCGTCTCTGCATCTTTCCTGGACTTGCAATTCCAAGAATTTTTACAATAGAATTAGTAAACTTTACTTTTATGCTTTCAGGTTAAGGATGCTTGTTGTTCCCTCAAATGTGGTTTCTAAATTTGGGCTCGCAAACTGTCTGCAAACTGGAACAACCGAACGCATTCCCGTGTGTGGGTTTAATAAACTGGTGAACGAATCATAATCGAACGATCGAGGTCAAGGATTACCTCAAAGCCGCACACCAGCATCATCGATTGCTCGTCACTTGTTAGAGACTGGACATCAAGTGAGCGCGTCCACAGCATTCAAAAGTGTTTTCTTGACACGAAACGGCGAAAGTTTTCCGAAAGTAAATTGTTCAACACTGTTCGTGATGTGTTCTTTACTCAAATTCATATCGGGCAAAGAACGTTTCAATAATGTCCATAATCGAAATATGAAAAATATTTATTGCTGATCGTGTGGCACTTCATTTGTGGTTATGCTAAAAGCCGCACAGACAAAATTAACCCGAACTATATGATGTTAAATACCGCTCGATTTGATGTTATGGTTCAAGTCTTCATTTACGGTACCCATGATGCTGGTTTGTATTGCTCTTTCAAACTGTCTGGAGGGGAGGGGGCTTCCCAAAGTACTTCGGAGTGCTGAATTGTTAACCAAAATCAGTCCCCAATATACCCTACGATGAATGGGATACGAAAATTGAGCATTCTCCAGATTTCACCGTCATTTTATTGCCACTCGTGTTACCGTTAGATTGTAACCGATCGCTATTTTGGAGATTTAACCCCTTTCAACAATTCCGATATTGAAACAATGTGGCACAGTGAGTTATGCATTCAACCAATCACAATCTAGAAGCACACCGATGCATCAGATACCACAAGCTGTCCACCCATTTCTCTTCTTTTCCCACCGTCACCACCATGAAGTTCATCTTTGAAGGAAGAAAAAGAGGCTACAAATCACCGCAGGAATTTTCAAATGAAATTTAGTTACAAATTCGGAACATTTCCGTGGTTAAATGTGAAATAAACGTCCGTTTGCGGTCAATGAACATCAAGAGCGTGAAACCAAGCCATATTTCAAAAATTTATGTGCATTTCGGAAAGTACGGTCTGTGAGTGCAAGGATAGGGGAATGGGAATGAGAGATAGACAAGAACGTGTATGATGTCAGTGAATACCATATTTTGACCCATAAAATGAGTTGAAATTCTAGGCTTTAAAAGCATACATGGTTTGCTGCTAGGCACTGAGTTCAGTGAAAGATGAATTCCGTTGGTTGACTTGTCTCCGTTGACTGGGGAGCAGAAACTGATTGAGACAACGATTGAGGCATCGATTGTTCCCACATCACTATTTGGGGTTGAGACACGGTTTGAGGTTGTGAGATGGGTTGTGGTTGAGGCCAAGGTATCGGTTGTGGTACGGGTTGTGGCAACGGATTTGGTTGTGGCTGAGGTACGGGTTGTGGTAACGGAACTGGTTGTGGTTGAGGTACGGGTTGTGGCAACGGGACTGGTTGCGGTTGAGGTACGGGTTGTGGCAACGGGACTGGTTGTGGCAAGGGGACTGGTTGTGGTTGAGGTACCGGTTGTGGTAAGGGGACTGGTTGTGGTTGTGGCCAGGGAAATCTTATCACGCCACGTGGTTGCGCATCGGTTTGGGGTTCTGGCACAACCAGTGATTTTGCAGAGGCTACATTTTCTCGTTTGTTCGATTCATTCACAGTGAGTGGATTTTCGCTCACTCCGGGGATAGGTGGGATCGGACCACACAGGATGGGATCGGATAACCAAACCAGTGACAACAATAACACCACGTTCAGACTCAGATCCCGAAGAGCTGGTTGCATGATAATTTTGTCTGTGTGTGTGTAAAACCAGCAGAAGTTCGTGCAGATTGGCCAAAATTTACATTCGTGGTGTGGTTTATATACTAAGTGTACAGTTCTTCAATGCTTTTATCCGGATTTATCCGATGTTTCGACTTGATCACATTCTCTCACCCGTTCAAGTATCATACGTGTGGGTGTGATTTAGTCGTGATCATCAGTTGATTACAAGCGGTCTCATCAATTTTGATTGATTCAATCCAGTATTGTTTATACTGAAGCAAATCCCGGATTTAGTAGGTTTTTCTAAATATTTTTAAACCCTACAAACAATGAATTAATCTGTGCTGAAAACCGACCGAACAAGTCACAGGATTCTAACCGCATACATCATAAGACCAAAGTGTGAACAATGATCGATTAGTTATGACCAGTTCAAGCTATATTAAACATCTTGCGTTGTAACATGTGTAAACTGATGTTCGACTAATATGATACGACAGTCTAAATTGTGTTACTGCATTGTATTGGTACCCGCTTGTTTTTGGGCTGGGTCATTCAGATCAGCCAATCGATCACATCATTCCACGACCCCTTGGGATGGGGGGGGGGCAAGTCAAATGATATGAGCGTTCGAAGCGAAACGATGCGTTATTTCGACGAAATAATGCAATTCTTTGAGATGAATTTTTCGAGTTTTGGTTTGTTTCACATTCCCGATAGACGAGGACAATGTGGGAGTCGATATTTTCAAAGTAATTGTCTCTCATGGGCGAGAAAACTAAGAATTTTCTAGGCGATTATCCCTAAATGTTTTCAGTTTTGATGACCCATGCACTCAGCAAGATCTTCTGATTCATTTCTGCTCATGCTTTAAATTGTAGGCGTGTGATGGGTGGCAAAGAGCGATGGCCAGCTGTTTCTCCCTTTTTTTGGGTTCGTCAGCGGTGCGCATATTATTTTTGTGTCCCTGCTCTGGGTAGAACATCAACCCCTCGGTTAGGGAATCGGAACCTTACTCTCTGAGTGCATGTTGTCATCTATCGATTTAATAGTTCCTTGTTTTAACCGACCTGAAATCATCAGCTCCACACAATCTGATCAACCCCTATGATCTGATATCTGTGATTTTACACGGGCTACAACAAAACTATGTTAAATCGATTTTCTTTATCCAGCCAGTATGAGTATAGAAGTTGTATGGTTATACCCTTTTCCTACCCTTAAATCTCATCTTAATCTTCTTGATTTAGGGTCTTACAGTCATCCTGAAATGGAAGCAGTTTGGTTGACACGGTGGGGTGTATCTCTCGACTACAGTCATTTGGATAGGTATTGGTTAAATGCAACTCTGACTGATCCAACCAAAATCATGAATCGTGATTGCATCGTGATTGCAGTTCAACCGTCCGTAGAAAAACTCCATGAACTTCGGAATATATTCAAAAAAGTTATTTAAATACTGATCAAAACAATCATGGATTCTGGTGCAAAAGCTGGAGGCCAAGCGAGAGATTTTCTCGGCATCTACTGCTTTGCTAGACACTCCCGTATGAATCTACGAACAAGCCAAAATAGCAATAGCCTAATTAACGACTGTGAGGAGTGGAGCAAAATGAGGGTAATATTAACTATCTTTTCCGTTTAAGCAGGAGCACAGACTGATCGTATGGAATGTGAATCCAAGAATGGATAAAAGCCTCAAAAAAGGAAGTTTTTACCACATCCCCAGACCCGTTACGCCCCACCTATATCATATCAAGTGCCTGCGATCTGCTATACAGCCAAGTCAAACTTTCTGTCGATTGTGCAGGGCTAGTATTCCTACAACTCCTTGTATGTGCACAGCGAGATAAACCTCCATACCCAACTGCAGTTCGGTCTATTCTTACATACACTTGTTAAACATGGTCACTGAGATTGGAAGATACGAAAATTCTGGAAAACTTCGACCACTGCGTCTCCAATATCTGGCTAAAATTAAGTAGTATGACTGCGTTTCAAACTCCATCGACCGCCAACATTGTGAGCTTAAAGATAGAGACAATGCCTTTGTTTCCCGATGATTCGGCTTTCGTCTTCCGTCGGTTATAAGGAGAACTCAACGAAAATTATATCGTTGGCAGCTTGTCTGAGTTGGAATTGTTGCCTTGAAGTTCAGTTGAAGACGAGAGTTAGCACTATTAATTATAATGTAGTTGACCTAAGTCTTCAAGTTGATTTTTGGAGTACGCAACCTGCAGAACAACTGCATTTCATGACACGCCTACCTTGTTGCTGATTGTAAAGCATGGATGGCTGCAATCAGAGTTATCCAAGAGGCCAATTTATCCTCACAAAAGAGGGGATCACATGCAAATAAACAGTATGTGAAAATGTCACACAGGCCTCTAAGGAAAAATACAAAGCGTTGAAAGCGGTTGACTGAAGTGGGAAAATGAAAAACTCACTTTCCCAAGGAACTGTTTTTTAAAGGTTGCTTTGTATATAAGTGGTCTGGGGATTGTAATTTTGTTGGTTTCGCACACTTGGTTAGAAACTCTCAACGACCACGGAGAAACCCTTCTGATCCCGTCTGTCACGCAGGTCTCCTGGCTAAACAACCCAAGTTTGGCCTGCCCTCGGAACTGGTGACCTGGACCGCAACATCCGTGTCAGAGTAGATGACAAGGTGTCTCGTTCAGTCGGTGAATGCTGGTGCCCCTCAGTCAGGATTCCTTGTTTATCCCTCACTGATAAGCCGTCTTCGAAGTTCTTAGATTTGGCAATGAAGTCACTATAC